TGAGCACGGTCATGTTGGCGATGGCCCCCTCGGTCCGGAAGCTCGGGTGTTCTGCAATGACCTCACACCGATACTGACCCGACGCCGTTATGGAAAGTCGGGTCAGAGATAAGGTCACGCGGTGGTCATTTCGAAACAGCTCCTGTGGGAGGGAAAAAAAGAAGATTGAGGTGGTTTACGGTTGGGTGTGAGGGTGGGTGGGTGGGGGGTGGTGAGGGAATGAGGGAATGAGGGAGAGAGGGAATGAGGGAACGAGGGAGAGAGGGAATGAGGGAGCGAGAGAGTGAGGGAATGAGGGAATGAGGGAGCGAGAGAGTGAGGGAGTGAGGGAGTGGATATGGGGGTGGAGGTGTATGTTAGTGGGGGTGTAAGTGAGGGTGGAGGTGTAAAGGTGAAGGTGAAAGTGAGGGCGTGAGGGTGAGGGAGTGGACATGAGGGTGGGGAGAAAGTGAGGGTGGGGGAGTGAGGGAGTGGACATGAGGGTGAAAGTGAGGGTGGGGGAGTGAGGGAGTGGACATGAGGGTGAAAGTGAGGGTGGGGGAGACAGTGAGGGTGGGGGAGAAAGTGAGGGTGGGGGAGACAGTGAGGGTGGGGGAGAAAGTGAGGGTGGGGGAGTGAGGGAATGGACATGAGAGTGAAGGTGAAAGTGAGGGCATGAGGAAGAGGGAGTGGACATGAGGGTGGAGGTGAAAGTGAGGGCGTGAGGGAGTAAGCGAGTGCACATGGTGATGGAGATGAAAGTGAGGGAGTGAGGGTGAGGGAGTGGACATGAGGGTGGAGGTGAAAATGAGGGCGTGAAAGTGAGGGAGTGGATGTGAGGACGAAGATATGAGTGAGGGTATGATAATAAGGTTATTAGTTATGAGTTAAAGTTGGCTGCAAAGTTTAAGCTGAGAATTATAAACAGGAACTTGGTATTTGTGAATATGAGGGTGTGAGGTGTGTAGATAGACAGTCAGATAGATAGACAGGGAGAAAGAAACACAGAAAACAGATAGATAGGGAGGGAGTGTGAGGGAGTGAGGGTGATGAGGGTGTGTTGGGGGAGGGGAAGGGAGGAAGAAGAGTGTTAAGTGTGGATAAATGAGCTAAATTATCGCGATAGATAGATAACTAAATAGATAAACAGGAAGATAGATAGATAAAAATATAGGCAATGGGTTACAAAATAACTAGAGAAATGGAAAGAAGAGAGATAAAAAGAAAAAGAAAGAGAGAGGGAGATAAGATACGGAAGGAACGTCCAGACAGACATACAGACTGACACACAGACAGACAGGCAGACAGATAGACTGACAGACAGACAGACAGGCAGAGAGACAGAAAGACAGACAGACAGACAGACAGACTGATTGACCGTCTGGCAGACAGACAGACAGATAGAAAGACAGAGAGACGTACATACATACATACATACATACAAACAGATAGGCAGACAGAGAGACAGAAAGACAAACAGACAGATAGACAGATAGACAGACAGACAGATAGACAGACAGACAGACAGAAAGACAGACAGACAGACAGACAGACTGACTGACTGACCGACTGACAGGCAGACAGATAGACAAACAGACAGACAGAAAGACAAAGAGACATAGATACATACAGACAGACAAACAGAAAGACAGACAAACAGACAGACAGGCAGACAGACAGAAAGACAGAGACAGGCAGACAGATAGACAGACAGAGAGACAGGGAGAGAGACATACATGCAGACAAACAAGCAGACAAACAGACAGATAAACAGAAAGACAGACAAACAGACAGAAAAAGAGACAGACAAACAGACAGATAGATAGAGAGACAGACAAGCAATCAGGGAGAAAGAAAGTACGAGGGGAGAAAAAGGCAATACAAAAACAAATAATAAATCAGAAGAAGAACGATAACGGACGCTAATTGGAACGAAACTAGACAAAAACGAAAGACTATTTTTCTCTTTCGATATCACTTAAAACTGGCCTCACGTTTTCTTTTTTTTTTTTTGAGGGGATACTTCTCCGTTTTCTTTTCTTTTTTTTTTCTTCTTCTTCTTCTTCTGTCTCTTCCTCTCCTTCTTCTACTTCCTTTCATGCATCCCCTTTCTTCTTTGTATTGTTATTACGTTTTTTTTATTCTGGTTTGTATTTATTGTTGTTATTATTTTTATTATATATTTTTTTTCTCAAGGTTTATTATTACTATGTCATGACCACTGCTAAATATATCATCATTTATCCTATTATCATTACCATTACTATTAAGATTCCTATTACTATTTCTATTACTATCATTATCATTGTTGTTATCATTATCCTTATTGTTGTTGTTATAATCATTATTATTCTCATTATCATCATCATCATTGTTGTTATCATTATCATCATCATTATTACTATTGTTATTATTATTATTTTTGTTAAAATTATTATTATCATTATTATCAATATTATTATTATTATTATTATTATTATCATTATTATTATTATTATTATTATAATTACTATTACTATTA